CCCGACCCTGAGCAGGCGCTGCATAATGCCTTTTCCAAGGGAGGTGCCCTATAAGGGCCCTATCAAGCCACAACATACCGACCCAAACGCCCGCCCGCCCACAAATGGACGACCGTTCCTGACGCTCTAATCGATTCATTTGCTAAGCAAATTATGAAGCGAAGGGATTGGTATGAAGCGGCCGTGATGCTGCATGGATATATGAGTACACATATGCAGCCGTACCTTAGCGGTTATTGGCAAGATGTCGTCCAAAATTGATTTTGAACACATTGAGAACGGAGGCTCTTTGCAGGATTTTGACCGTTTCACTCCGTTCTTTCGCCATTTCCCCACTATATAGCGCCCTACTAGCATTTTAGGCCGAGCACCAAATCATCGTGCCAACTGCCTTTAAGGTGCAGGGCTATTCTGTGAAGTCCTGTGAAACTCTGAGAAACTGGCTGCTCCTGAGGACGTAGTAAGTAGAGAGGGCGTTAAAAGCTGGAAAACTGACAAAACTGGAAAAAGAAATAAAGAAAAAAAAACAAAGCTAGAAAAAGTAATGGTGAAGGCGTTCCAAAGAAATGGTTTGTGCTTACTTGCTCGCTTGCACAAAAAATGCTCACTTGCCTCGAGACTCGTTCCCCTCGAGGCCTAGACGAGAATCCCCATCTACTGTTCGCAGTCGTTTTTCGCCCCTTTTAGAATCAAATGTCTTTAGGACAGGTCGTGAACTGGGGATACCCTGCTGGGGAAGTGATATTTGGTAGCTGGGGGAGGGAGGGGAGTCGCATTTGCTTTTTAGAACAATGTTTTTGGATGTCAACGATTTCGGAAAAAAAACACTTCGAAAAAGTGGTGAGAATTGAGGAGAATTTAGAGAGTAGGTCAGATGGGATATTAGGAAGGGGAATCGTACTAGAGAAGGGAATGGGGGGAGTAATCGTACTTTGCAAGATTTCCCAAACAGCAGGACCTGCTTGAAAGCGGTCTCAGGCACAAAACCTACGCGAAGAGATTAGCCTTTCAAATAAAAGCTTATTATCCTTTCGTAGCAGCAGCAGAAGAAGTTGTCACGACTACAGTTCACTATAAGATGTCCTCCCCCTGGCAAGCGCCCGTTTTTTAAGCGATATTTTCGATATTTTTCGGTAGTTGCACGAAGTAGAACGTGAACCGTAGTTTGAATGATGCTTTATCGAGCCCTGCCTTCTAGTGTATACGAAATGATATTGTAGTTTAGCAGTTTGTAGCAATTCTTTCACTAGAATAGAGAAGAAATAGTGCAATGAATTCGCCTTATAGGAGCTACTCAGTAGGAGGTTTACGTGGGTTGGTCTAGGTGAACGGCCACGCCCACATACGTACCAGAGAACCCGGAAACGTATTAACCCATTTATCTGATGAATGAGCCAGAATTGATCCGATGAATGAGCCAGAAAAAAAGCATTAAAAGCCTCGTCACTTCTGGGAAGTGATCCTGGCTGTAATGGGCGTGTTATCGGATAACCTCGACGTAGTCGACTGAATGGGCCGAGGTAGCGTAGCGACTAGAGTCTTATTGGATTGAGGAAAAAGTCCATTAGGACCTACTAAAAATTCAAAGTTTATACATAAATTTCAGTAGAAACAATAGCAATTATTCTAAAAGGCCATCAATTTGTGCCTCCCAGTATTCCGAGACGGCAATAAAGGGGTTTTGTCCAGACTCGTTGGTCGAAGTGAACGTAGCTGGCCAGCGCTCGTAGTATGTGGGAAATGCCCGGGGGACACATCGGTGGTTTAGGGTTAAAGTCGTCCTTGACCCGGAAACTATTTTTGGTACATAGTTGGTCTTCCCTGCTTCGCGTCGTCAATGTCGCTGGAAAACTCCCATGTGGGAGGAAAGGGGGGAGGGGGATCCAGTCGTTGAGAGGGGAACTCATACTCATTCAGACTTAGAAGGGAAGTCATTCATATATGCTTGCCGAAGAGAATTTCTCCCTGCATGAGAAATGTTTCAGTACCTGGCTTTCCATTTCACATGTGAGATATACCCTGCCCTTCCACTAACCCCTTCAACAGCAGTTTTTTTTCAGGAAAAAACTAAGAGTCTTGAAGTTTCGCGAAAATTGCCGGATTAATGGAATGTGGGTCAGGGAAATTCAGGGTACAATGAGGCATTGGGAAGGGAGAGCGTGCCAGGTGAGGAAATTTCAAGGAGGGCGGGTCGTGTCCTGCAGGTTTCCCATAAGAGCAGGAAGAATTTGCCTGCCCACCTTGACGTCGAAATATAGCTGCGATCGATAATCCTCAAATAAACTCAAGAAAGAGAATTTTTATTGAATACAATAAGCAGAAAGTTTACAATCGTTGTCGACAAGAAAAGAACACACGAATATATCGATTTTTTAGCGAATCGATTCTCGATTTATTTTGCCCAATCGGCTTTTGCTTTCTCTTTGCCTTCCTGGAAATACGAAAGAACTCAATTATTACGATCAAATCCTTAGAAGCGCAAACTTGCGGTCAACTAGTTAGACTAAACTTTCTGGTTCTTACCTCTTCCATAGCAAACTGATTTTTGTCAATCTGTTTCAGATTGGAACGGAAATCGACCTTAGCGGCTTCCTTCTTCTTCAATTTGTCAAATTTACCCTCGGTCTTGGACACCTTCTTCAGTGTTGGTTTCACGCTGAAAAAATGATTTTTCCATTATTTCAGGTGTAACAAAGTATGACGTCATGCGAAAAAATCCATACAATTTTCCGCGAAGATCGTTCACAGCGATGGTGAGTTCGTTGATCTCGAAATCTTTCTGTCGTACAATGTACGATACGTCGTAGTTCTCACTTTCCAAGACAATAAGACGTTCACGCATCTGATCGTAGACTTCTTCAAGGTCATCTGAAAACGAAAACCAGATCAGAGCACTTTCCAGTAACAATTCTTACTATTTCTCTTTTCATCTCGGTAAGATTTGAGCTGCTTCTGCTTGAAAAAGCGACAAACGTAAAGAAGATGTACTGTCTCTACAGGTAGGTGTAACTCCCCCCCCCCCCCCCACCTCAGAGAAAGCGTTTCAGTGGCGACGGCCCGGCGCCCCAATCGAAGTTCTCAGTGTGACCGCCCCCTTCCCAACACCTACCCACCGATTTCCCCACTTTTTCCAGTTTTTCACCGAAAGATTTTCGTCTTGTTTTCTCTTGAGGGCACATACGACCCCTCCCCCCAGCGGAAAAGTACGACCCCTCTATGCGTTCCATACAATGATGCTGTACCCTGCTCTCCGGCAAGCACCAATGTACTGTTGTATGAAACCCATCAGAGATTTTAGGTGTGTTTGACCTAAAGGGAAATTTTTCGAATGTAGATTTTGCCCTTCACTTGGCGGAGCGGCGACAAACTGTCTTTGACAGTTGTTCGGAAGGTTTACCCCTTCCCACTCGATAGCGGACTTCTGGGAAAATTCGGAAGGCGCTAAGGCAAGGTTAAAGGCACATTCCGCGATAAAATAAGGCTATGACCTCTCAAATGTGTCGGACGATCCGGAAGGCGATTTTTGAGGCTGCGCTACTTTCAAAATGTGAAAAACGGCAAGAACTCCGCTAGAAGCTGACTAATTAGGCCCATGGACCCCTTAGGCCCATGCCGACCCTCACCGGCTGCTAGCTACTAGCTAGTAGCCACTATGTTATCTTTCTCTATAACATTTCGGACTGCTTTTTCTGCTGCTTTTCTCCGCTAATCAGATACTTAGCACTTTTTTGTGCCTATTTGAGTTCCGTTTCCCGCAATTTGCGGTCGCGAACTGTGCCTTTAAGCCGCCAATCAATGGGACGGTGTCGGGAGGGAGTGGGTGAGTCCATCCTGGCGGGCTACTGGTTGTTTTCTTGATAAATCGATTACTGACCTATTGCAATTGTTAGAGAAGGTAGCTCGAGGTGGGCTCATTGTGACCCGCCTAACGCCGCCCCGACTCGTAACGATATCAGCTGTAGGTTGTGGGAGGGAGAGAGGAAACGTGTACCAGCCACTAATTTCAAAGTAGGGTCGTACTGACACCTCACTTCACACATCCCAGTGGTGTACCTTGGGAACTTATTGGGTGCTGACTGTTACAAGGAAGCGGGAAAGGTTAATATCCTCCGCAAACTATTCAACATGCTCTTCCATAATATTCCAGGTAGTCCTGATCTTTTTTGATGATCACTGCTTCATCCAATTTTCCAGAAATGAATTTCGAAAGAAATGACATTGGCGTTCGGGAAATGTTTGGCCAATCTTCTTGAATATCGGAAATCGGACGAGGAATCGCAGTCTCGCGACTCTTGTCAGCACTTTTCCATAACAGTCCCATCCGAAGCTTATGATAGTTGCTTTGAAGGAACTTTTATGGGAAGGTTGATTCCACGATATTCATCCATTTCAGCTTAATTGCCTGAATACGATGAAGACAACCATCTGGATTCTAGCACCCATGCCGAAAGCGCCGGAGCTGTTTAGACATCTGTGCCGACATCTCATAAGCGTTTTAAAATGCAGTAACCGCTGCATATCTCAAAATGAATGCGCTTTTAGACAGCGTTCATACTTCGCGACGGCAGCGCTTCGGACGCGAGTTTGACGCGGTCGACGCAGTGGAAAGCATGTGCATCGATCGCGGCGGACGTGCGACCAAAACGCTGCATCGCGAAGTCTGAACGCAACCTTAGAGATCAGTGGCCAAATATCCCTTGTCGACAGGGTTTGACCAATTCATTATGCTCAGGAGTAATGGCAATGGTCCCCGTGGAGTGGGTGGCAAGGGCTTCCGGACCAAGGACTTTAAGGGTGAAATTGTTCGGGCGGACAAATTTTTTGTCAAATGGAGTTTTTTGTCCAATCTTCTGTAAGTATAAGCAGTAAGATAATTTCTCTACGCCCCTGTAATTGTAAAGTGAAGGTCCTAACCGCAGTCGTCGAGGTCTGGAAGCGGGATGATTCGCTCTTGGAGAATACGCTGTCGTTCCTGTTCTTTGAGCATTTGCTGCTGTTTCAGATCTTCGGCGGCTTTCATCATCAAAAGTTTCTGAAAAATCCATTCTCAGTTGTTTTAACTAAAATAAGATCTGTGACTCACCCTGAGTTT